CGGTAAAATTTCTCGGGCCCCCCCCCCCCCCCAGCAGGGAGTTGAAGGCTGCTATTAAATCCCCACTCAGTCTTCTCTTCTCCAGACTTAAATCAGCCCAGTTCCTTCAGCTTCTCCTCATGTCACGTCCTCCAGCCCCCCAGCCATTCTCATTGACCTCCACTGGACTCTCTCCAATTTGTCCACGTCCTTTCCCCAGAAAGGAATACAGGACTCCAGATGTGGCCTCCCCAGTGCTGAACTCACCTCACCTGGTGCTCTCCCCTACCCTGGAGGTCTTCAAGAAGAGACTAGAGAAGCACCTAGCTGAGGTCATCTGACCCCAGCACTCTTTCCTGCCCAGGGCAGGGGGTCAGACTTGATGACCTACTGAAGTCCCTTCTGACCCTACCATCTATGAATCCATGAACCAAGTGGAATAATCACTTCCCTCCATCTGCTGGCAACACTGTTACCAATACAGCCCAGTATGCCATTAGCCTTCTTGGCAAGAAGGGCACACTGCTGACTCATATTGTAGGAGTAATTGAATTGGGCTTCTGACCTATTTGACTAGAAAAAAAAAGACAGACAGACCAGAAGTGCTGGTACTGCTTATTTCAGTTAAGCATTCCGAGATAACGAATTCTACATGCTTTGTTTTTGCCTATGATATAATCACCCTGTGTACGAGTGTTAAGTTTATTTTTCTTTCTGAGAAACCAGAAACTGATAACTATTTCTATAAGCACAATGTATCACTTTTAAGTAAGCAGCCTGTATGTCTGTGTGTGTTAACAATCAGTAATTTACTGTCCAAGGTCATATTTTTTTTCCCTTCTTTCTCTGTGTCACGGAGTAGGGTGCAGGAGCAGCCGTGATCTCGCTAGTGCCCCCCTGCCGTGCCAAGTAAGTGATCCAGCACCCTCTTTTCTCGCCCACCACATCTTTGTGGATATATCTAGCTTTATATGGGAGGCTGACTTTAGTCCACCTGGACACAGTGCTATAACTATCCAGGCTCCTACTCTCTATGGGGTGACCTGGTGCACCCCAGCCTTATGGGCTATGCATGCCTCCTACCTCCCCTTTAGCACGCCCCAAGCCTCGCAGTTATTCCAGACGTTCGAGTCTCCGATATACACGCCCTCGCTGGGGCCTTGCCCCCACACTCGCCCTACTCCAGGCTCTGTCTTGCGCGCCCTGCACTGTCGGGTTCTATCCCACGCTCCCCAACCTCTTGGGCTTGTACCCGTGTGCTTACTCCAGCACACCTAATGTACTCGCCCCTCCCCTGGGGCCCTGTTGCTCACTGCACAAGCCCTGTCTCGCCCCTTTAGGTTCAGCTAGTGCAAGCACCCTCTTCAGGCTCCCGACCGCACGCTCTGGCCTGGCTTTGGGTCTCCAACCACATGCTTGCCTTACTCCAGCCTCTTACACTCACCCTCGCCCCCCTTATGGGACTTCCCCCTAGACTCGCCTCATCTGGGGCATCCAACTAGGCATTCCCCCCCTTTCAGGGCTTATGCCTCGCCCTTCTCTGGGGCTTCCTCAGTAAACACACCCTTCTCTGGGGCCTATGTCCATGCCTCTTGTGCTACACCCTCTCTGGGGCATATGTCCATGCCTCTTGCGCTCGGGGCTCAGGTGGCCCCGAGCCATGCCTGGCCCCTTGACCTTTCTCAGGGGTCCTTTGCCCAACTGGGCAGAATACCACCCTCAGGCTAGGGTCTCAGCCCCCACACACTGTACCACACCAGCGCCAAACAGCCATGCCTCCCAGGCACTGCTGTGCCCAAACAGGGCACCCAGGAACCCCCAGACTACTGGGGAGCTCCCATGAGGCCTCCTCACACCCTTACAGCCTCACCCAGTCCTCCGGTATTTACACAACAAATTAAACAGAACCATAAGCACACCAGCTGTAACTCAATAACAAGCTTCCTTGCTCAAACACAGGGTTAAGCATACTTGCCTCTCTAGCAATACCCTCCCCATCAGAGTTCTTACCACGCTGTAGCTGCTTGGGTGGTCAAACTACAACCACCAACCCTGCTCAGCTCTACTGCTGAGCTCCCACACATCAGGCTACCAAGAGGGAACTGCCCCATAGGCGTTGGCCTGGGCTGTTTATAAAGGCCCGGCCCTGCCCCCTGGCGGTCAGCTGACTCAATCAGTTGCTCTAGCAACCCTCACCTGGGCTGCCCTGAAGCTTGGCAGCTAAGCCCACACCACTATTACTAGTAGCAGGCACCCCAGTGTCCTGCTACACTCTGTCTTAAGTATAAATATGCTTGTAAACTTAGAGAGTGTGAGAAATCCTTTGAAACAGACAGGTGGGTGATTCCCCTTGCTGTGTGGAATTCTCCCTGTGATCACAGTATAGCCCTAAATAAAGAAAGGCTGGCTCTGTCAGTTCTGATTCAACCACAACGCAGACTTTGATTTCTTCCACAATATCCACCTTACTGTCCACTGTCACCCCCAGGTGCTTTTCTGCAGAGCTGCTGCCCAGCCAGTTGGTCCCCAGCCTGCACTGGTGCATGGGATTGTTCCATTCTAAGTACGAGACTTTGCACTTGTTCTTATTGACTCTCGTGAGATTTCTTTTGGGCCAATCCTCCAATTTGTCAAGGTCTCTCTGAATCCTAGCCCTCTCGTCCTGACAGTGGTTAATGAAGACTCATCATTGTTCCTAAGTAGCAGATGGAGACCAGTAAACACCGTAAAAACAACATACTTGTCCCAATTCTCAGGTGGCAGAGTCAGGGGGAATGTCCTTTTTTTCAGACCTTGGCATAATCCGTACCTCACTCCTGCTCTCTGTCCTGATCTTATTTCAGCTGTGGTCCAACCAATGTGAGATTTTTGAGAGATCCAAACCACATCCCCTATCTTTCCACACTCTACCTTGAAGGTATTGGCATAGAGCACTAATTTATTTTACACGATCTGCTACTGCTGCCTTCACATGCAAGAAAACTCTCAATTAAAAATGAGAACAGTGCTGCTGGCAAAGACTGGCACTTAGTTACAGAAAGAGATCCTCCCTAGAGCTAATTCAGCACATAAGTGCTTGCCAGTGCTTGGATTCACACACAAATGCTAGACATATGCCTAGGATGTCACTTGAGGGCATGTAAACTTAAGAGACCAGCATATACACTCCAACAAAATCACGCTCCGTACTGACCAGCAGAATTAAGCCCTGCGTGTACATATTTCCTACACACATTCACACACAGACTTACTCTGAAATGAAGAACACAGCAGCTCACTGTTGGAAATTATGCCCTACCACGGATCCATAAATATTTTTGAAGGGTACTTTAGAAAGAAGCAAGCTCCCTGCACAGCTCATTCTGTCTAAATGCCTCCCTCTCCTTTCACTAAATATAACTGTCTCTGGCATCTTCTAAAAATCCACTGCAGATCCTGTAACTTTAAACCTGGGCTGAGATCATAATTTTAGTGCTGACCAAACAGAGTGAAGAGGGCGGGCTTGGCCTCTTCTTTTTGAGACCACCTTAGGTACCCTCCCACCCCTTGGTTAAAGAAAAAATGCTGACTCCTCTCTCAGTTATTTTTCTTTAGCTGTATTCGTTATCTCTCTGGGAAAAACTGCCCCTCTAACTACTGCAGTTCAAGGGAATTTCTGCAACTCCAAAAGGTTGTCCACAGGTGGTTTCTCTGTGTGATCTCAACTCCTCTTATCTCTAAAATAATCCACGACTGGAACTGTCTGATCCCAAGACTGGAAAGCTATTCTCTCAACAGAATTAGCCAAGATGTTTCTTAAAACCCTGCTCCTCATCTTCCTGCTAGGGACTGTACCCTTCAGGGCATTTGCTGAAGAAGGTAAGAAGAATCTTCTGCTAAAATCATTTCCCAATGATTTGCTGTAATTCACATACATTTTGTCCTTATTGCTAGGTATGTGATTGTACTGTGTTGTTTATAAAGTTTTCTTTTGAATGCCTAAAACCACTATTGAGTGTCTAGCTGGATTGTATCAGGAGTGAGACCTGTCAACCTTTGCAGGCTGGTGGAGTTTCCTGGGTGTTTGGAAAAAAAACCCAACGGCCAGTTGATGTGCCCGTGGCAGTCGACACAGGACTGCAAGAGGAGTGGCGGTGTATGAGCACTCGATGGAGGCATTACATGGTCACCAGTTTCACAGTGCAATATGTGCAATGGATACTGAGAGCAATAATTTAGCTGCAATTATGAGACAGCAGCACTCTGACACCAGCTTCTCCCTCCCATCCCCCAAGATCCGTTTCTCCCAAGAAGTGTTTGCCTTTATTCCGGATTGCAAAATGGATATTTCAGCGCGCTCTCGCAATTTGGGGACTTCCATTCTAACGCTAACTTTCCTAGACTCACGGTTGACCGTATTTCCATGATACACAAGTGTTACGATAGCTTCTCTCAAGCACTTTGAAATGGCAGATTTTGAGGAAATGTAACAAGACGTTATAAGATGTTCTGTGTCTGCTGTGGGCAGGAGCGCGAAGAGTTAGTTTTGTAAACTCTTTCTTTTTGAACGTTATATGTATGACAAGTGTATAGCATGATACACTCCATATTGAGGGCTGGTGGGTATGTTTTTTTACCCTGATAAAATATACAGGGTCAATCTGGTCCATTCCTACTGAATAATGCCTGGCTCTAGAAGTGGTCACACTGAAATGGAGGTGACCACTCGCCAAGAAACATATTATTCATTAGATTCAGAATCTGTGCAACAGGCAGTGAATCCAAGTCCAGGACGCAGCATCAGTGTGATACAGCAGGGTGTTGCCAATATAGTTTGGCATTTCAAACAACAGTGTTTAAAAAGTAAGGTGTAAATCATGCCCCAAATTTTCAAAAGCAGATTATTTTGCATTATTAGGAAATAGGGATCCCAGCCTGAGGTACAGGATCAGAGGCTTGGCTGGCATAAGTCAGCATAGTTCTGCTGGAGGAAGTGGACCGTAGCAATTTATAGCATCTGAGGATCTGGCCCACTGGACTTTAGCTGGAATTGTGTGTTTGCAGCACATTGGAAGAATCACACCTGGAGGGTCTCAAGTTTGGCTGTCAGACTTCACAGTAACCTGAAGTCAACAGCCACTTTTGAAAAATGTTTCTTTTTCCATTTGGGCCCACTAGGATAAGCATCTATGGTTTCTAGCCCCATCATCCAGCCAGCACCTCCTTCAGAGTCTTTTACAGCAGTGCAGAGCAAGTCACAAATCCTATTTTTCTCATTTTATACTGACTCCATACCTGCCTTTCACCCGTGTAAATGATTACACAAAGTGTATAGGACCAGTGAATCAGCAGAGTCACTATCCAATTTTTAACCGAGTGCAGTTTCCAATTATGATACATGAGACAAACATGCAATTGCTGCATGTAGATGTCTAACCCAGTTAACTAGATGCAGAAATGCAAAAGACAAATAGGATTTTTATTTTTTTTTTTTGGTATGCCTCCTTTCTCCAAACAATAAAGCAAGCATTTTAGGAACTGAGTGGGTATTGTGCACATCTCCATAGCAAGAGTCACCAAGTATCTTTCAACACTGCAGTTCAAACAGTGTAAGCCAGAGAAGGTTTAAACACAGGTCTTGTTTATAAGGCTTTTATGGCTGGCTAAGATAGGGCTGAACTCTGGTGACTGATGTAGAAGCTGGCGTACAAGACTATTTTATTAGTGAATTCTTAATAGTCTCTCTTATCTATCGTTTCTAGGTTTTGCAGACACACAGTTCTCAGTAAATGCACCATCAATTATTGCAGAGCCTCTGTATAGTATGTAAACAAGTCTCAGATGAGCATTTTCATGGCCCCAGTGTATAACAAGTGCCCATTAGTGATCGGTACCATAGGTAACTCTCTCGGTGCTAATACAATTTCCTTGACCAGTGAAGACTGAGACTGAGATTTTACCTAATAATTACCTCCCCATTTCTAGGGATATAAAATGCTGCTCAAAATCCAGTAGAAACCCACAAGGCAGTACTATCCAAGTGAAAACAAATCTTTCAGTTCACTAAGTGCTTGAAACACGCGTTCATGTCTGCCCTCATCTTCCCAACCAAACTTGGTTTAACCATCCATGCAAATAGCCAAGTATTCTGTCACATTTTTCACTCAAGCTGTTAATTCTTCTTATCCCCTAATGAGTTTCTAGCCTAAAGCACTTCTTGCAAAAAGCATTAGCAGATGCACATTTGTCCTTCTGAGATCCTCTTTCCTGCAAAGCACAACGTTTTGCACACTTCGCCACGCCCAAGCTTATAAAACCCAGAGCTTCTGAACCGAAATGGCACGCTCTGGCCCAGACACTCTGATGCCAGTGCATGCTACTGCCTCGGCTTAGCAGTCTGCAGAATTAACCAAATAATGAGAAGCGCACAGTTTCAAAGGAATGCTTCCCACAGGCAACAAATCCCACAGCTTCAAGCTTGTGCCCACATACACATACTATTGCAGATGATCAGCGATCCCCCTACTAGCCACTGTCTCCGCTCTTGGCTAGATGGTCCTGCTGTTCTGCACAGACGCATGCCA